TACAGCATAATAACAGTAAAAGGATACAATAACAATCACTTGCTGTGCCACAATGGGTTATGGAAAAAATGCAGTGAGAATATTGATTGTTAGGATTAGGGGTTATGGTTTAGGGAGCGTTTAGGGGTTACAAGCAGCCTCTCAGTCAAAATTCAAGGCTCAGTTTTTTCTATGTACACTGGAAATGTGCACAGACAGAGCGCTGGTAGCATATATATATATATATATATATATATATATATATAGAGAGAGAGAGAGAGAGAGACATTTCCTTCACTGGCCATCATGGAAATATTATTATCAATAAGCGATGGCTGTGGGGCATGGATTACTGAATTTACTTGGTATAGTCTATGCAATCTTCTGGCCAGATGGAAGTAGCATAGTGAGACACATGTTACTGCTGAAACTGTGGTACATAAAGCCTAGCTATAAGCAACATGCAGATTTAAGGATTAGAGGTTTAAACTCATCTCCAAGACAAGCACTTTTACATTTTAATCAGCTAAAATTTATAAGTGTTCACTAAGGGTTTATAAGTGTTCACTAAGATAACTAAGCTGGCTTTTACACTTGAAGTGTTTATACATTTGTAGTTTTAACACAGAATGACTTAAAATGATACTTAACCCATTCATGTTCAACAACTATGGGTAAATACGGACAAAATGCTGAGATAAAGCAGTTATATTATTTGTTCAGTAGGCTAATTTTGTTTTGTCAACCATGCACAGCGATGGCTGTGGGGCACGATAAGATACATTACACAAGATGCCACAAGCCTAGTGGGTTCTGTAACTGCGTAGGATAGGAAGATGCATTAGATCAGAAGTTACAGTAGGCCTATGCGTTAAGGGCCTTTTCTACTTTCAGTGCAAACACAGTGGTGTTAAATTTCACCGCTTAGGAGATGATGTGAAATCTTATTTTAGAGATTTTGGATGCTCCATTGCCAGTTCAGATCTAGTTCACCTCAACTTTTAAAGTTTTCTGTTAAATCTACATATTTAATGGAGGACTCTCAGCACCACACCGAACCAGCAATCCAAGTTCATTCAAGAGAATAAAAAAAAAAAACACGCACACAGAGAATCATCTACTTACAAATGTAATATTCATGAGGAAAGTATAAACTTGGCTTATAATTCTTGCATCTAATTTCAGGCACTTTGGAGAATTCTCTGCTCAAAGAACAGCTAACTATTTATTTGAACTATTTTATTTAAAGTTCTGTTTATAGAACCGTTTATATCCTCCTGAATTCTCACCAGTATAACAAAATACAAAAACTTGTATTGCTTTAGTTAAAGAACTGAGAGTACACTTGCTTGCTAGATGTCCTTGCTACATAAAGAAAGCCGTCTCCTGGGGGGAGGACGTACGTGTGTTTTAGACTGTAGATGCCATCACCACCCCCTCATTTCTCCCTGCTACTCCAGTAACAGGCCTTACGTTTCTTCCCATTTGTCTACCAATCCTAGCGCAGGAGGTCGTACTCGTATGAATATGGATGGGGGGAAGCCAACATCAGTAACAAATCTGTTCCTGTCTGCCTTTCCCATGCAGAAGCAAACACAAAGGACAACCACATGGGAAAAGATCTAGAACTACTACAGCTGTGCCTCAAATCGGGTCCTACTACTGAATTATTATCTAGTCCTTGTTTGATGGAGTACTAGGACACTTATAACTGACGAATGTCGTTGATGGTTTGCTGACGGTTTGACATCCCACACTTTAAAATATTTGTTCCCTACATTTTGTGGCATGTTATTAGGGGACAAACATTTCAGTGCATTAGGATCATTTCTAGAATGGCATGTCTCAGAAATGCTGCACCTTCATTTAGTTTAATATACGTGCAATAAGAAGTTGATCAGTTTGGGGAAACATACTAGTCCCCTATATTTTGAGGTGCAATGTAGGATGGCATTAGGGGACGAATGTCCCAGTGCACTTGGCATTTTTTCTAAACTGAGATGTCCTTAAAAACAGCCCCATTATTTTCCTAAATAGAAAACAAGTACTAGTGACAAATAGTTAATGAATGTTGGAATGACTGGAACTTCAATTGGAATGAACTGATTTGCTGCCAGCTGGTTTGCAACATGGACTATACGTCCAAAAAGTTCGTAAGACGTCTTCTGAAATGAAGGGTATTAATTGGGAGTTTGTTGTGCTTCGCTTCAGTAACAGCCTCCACTCTTCACAGTGCCACTGCCCAATGCAGGGGGCTTTACACTCCTCTAGCCGACACTTGGCATTGGACATGATGACCATGGGTTGGTCCGTTGCAATGGCAACGCTCTGTGCCAGCAATGGCTGCACCTTAAAGCAGCTAAATTAACTAATTAGAACGGAGGCCAGGACATATAATGTGGTTTACTAAATAGGGAACAAGTGGTTGATTTGGGATGCAGCCTGAGTCAGTACCTCTACACGTGATCACTACCTAAAGATCCTGTTTACAGCCAAAGGCCAAACTGCAGGGGTGTGTTTGAGGGGGATATCCTGTTAATGAGCATATGCATGCACAGCTCCTCCAGCTCTAACACTCAGATCCTGACATGAACACACAGCCAGCACGGCAGCATTTTAGCCATGCACAGCACACCTCAGCCCAGCAATCTCATTAAAGAGGAGAGTGAAATGAAGTCTACCCACCATCTATACATTATTAATGAGCAAATTAAATTATTGACCCACGTGGGGGCGGGACAGCCAGTTTCATGGATTTTTCGACTCAGCGACTTCAACAACTTCTTACGATTCACTGCTGAATTGGGTAAAGGAGGACAAAAGGCTGAGATGAAGCAGTTTGCTTCACTTTTCAGCAGCTTAATTTTATTCTGTTAATAGAAAATATGCAGTTAAAATCTTCTATCGCTCTAATATCAATTAATATTAATACCTTTGATCTTAGACAAGGGATTTGATTCAGGTTAAGTTTAAAATATGACTGCATTTACTTGGTATAATCTATGCAATCTTCTGGCCAGATGGAAATAACATAGTAAGACACATTTTACAGCTGAAACTGTGGTACACAAAGCCTAGCTATAAGCAACATGTAGATTAAAGGATTAGGGGTTTAAACTCATTTCCAAGACAAGCACTTTTACATTTTACACTTTAATCAGCAAAATGGGTTTATAAGTGTTCACTAAGATAACTAAGCTGGTTTTTACATTTGAGATGTTTATACATTTGTAGTTTTAATACACAGAATGGCTTAAAATGATACCCTATTCATGTTCAACAACTATGGGAAAATTAGGACAAAATGCTGAGAAAGCTGTTCTGTTATTGGTCTAATAGGCTGATTTTGTTTTGTTGACAACTGTTTTTCTAAGGAAAGCTAATAAATTTTAATCTCTTTCTAACATTACTTAATATTTAACTCCTAGTAACTTAGACAAGGGACTTGATTCTGGTTAAGTCTGACATATGGCTGAATTTATTTTTTATACTTGGTACAAAATCCTCTGATCAGGTGAAAATAACCCCCACATTACTGCTGACACTGTGGTGCATCAAGCTTGGCTATAAGCAAAATCCAGATTTTCCAGAAGGATATAATCAGGAGAAATATTTAGTCCATTTTTAATCATTTAGTTTTTTAATCAGCTAAAGGTTTATAAGCTAGATTTTACATTTAAGTGTTTATACACACTTAAATGACTACACTTACAGTTACAGTATGATGAGAAAATCGTACTACAGAAAGCAGAGCTTGTTCCATGTGGCCAAAAGACTGAATTTATTAGGATTAATAAAGTAATAAAAACGTAAACCATATCAGCCTGAAAAAAATTCTTCAGACTTTTGCTCAGGCAAGCTCAGTGGACTTGAGGAAGTTTAAAATTTGACGTATAAATATTAATGGGTTAAACAGTGTTACTCCACGCAATTCTCATACTTTCATGCACAATAAATAAAATAAAAAAATAAAACAGTCATATGTAACCAAGAGGCTACACTTAACATTATAATTGTTTTAAAAAAACATTTTAGCCATATAGTTTGATCGATTATAAATATTTCTTCAGATTTGTGCTCTGGCAAGCAACTGGACCAGTTTTAAAAATCACGTACAGACACAAAGGGGTTAAAATCATTTCCAGGACAGACATTTAGCCCATATTTTATTTAGATTTTAATCACCTTATCCTATACACACTAAAGGCCAGTTTCCCAAAGCCTAAAAACAGACTAAAATCAATTTCCAGATGTCCACTAACAATGACATTCAGTCCAAGACTAGGCGTGACTAGGCGTCCACCAACTTTTCAAAAATTCTACATAAATAGCTGAGATGTAAACAAAGTCATTCAGAGCGGTTTGGTGTGAAATGCTCTGTTCTGGAGAAACTTGCGGAGTCAGAATTGTTCACAGTGGTGGTGATAGGAACCAGACATCCACCTCTAAAAGCTCCTCACAGAAAGTTACTACCTAAAATAATTATATATGTGCTTTTTTATGACGATTTTGTGATAAAGATTAGCTTAAAATGTATTTTAATCCATTTATTTTTATCCATTCATGGCAGAGGGGTACATGCAGGGTGATCTAAGTCAAAATAGTCTCCCAAAAACTTATTCTTTCACATTTCTGACATTTTACCAACATCACCATTACACATAAAAGCTCTGAAGACTCGTGTAGGTTCACTGGTGGTTTTGGACTGTAAATAAAATGTCTATATTTGTGTTGTAGACATTGTGACCTCCCCATCACCACCACTGTAAAGAGCCTCTACAATGAACCATTTCACACCAAACCACTCTGAATCACTCTGTTCACACCTCAACCACTGAATTATGCAGAATTTCTGAAAGATTGGTGGAATTCCCCTTTAAACCGGTACTGTGTGGGGAAACTGGGCTAGCAAGCCAAGCTAGCTTTCACGCTCTTCACATTTGCAGCTGGTTTTACCACAAAAAAACAACACAACACTTCGCCCACCTGGATAAAATACTACTTAAAAGGTAAAAACTCACCCGTTATCAGACAGAAAGTGGATGCTGAAGCACTGCCGAGCCCCATGGTGGATAAAAATGAAAAACGAAGAGCAAAAAAAGGGAAGTTTGTGGAGTTTTTTGGGTTAAAACGACGAGACTTTATCAGCTTCGCAGCAAAACCATCTTCTCAGCCGAACCTGTCGCAGCGGACGGCTAATGTCTCTCTCCCTCTCTCTCTCTCTGAGGAAACACCGACCGTTAAAGACGACCGTTAAAGTCCGTTAGTGTAACGTAGCGTTACTCCGGTTTTCTCCTTCATATCCTCGCGCACTGCGCTCCGAACTCCTCTCACTCCCTCACTCCCCTCACTGAAACAGTGTCCTCCGTCCGGAACCGGGTCAGAACTGGAGGGAAACAAAGTCCCGCTCAGTCTGAAGGAGAGAGATAGTCACCCGGTCCGGAGAGACCCAGATCTCTGAGTGAGTGAGAGAGACAGACGAGCCGCGCGCTCACTGGAGCTCGAGCTCTGAGAGCGCGGAGAGTAGAGCGAGAGCGAGGACTCTCGCGCGCGCACACGAGCACGCACGCTGGAGCTGAGCGCGCGAGACCGCGTGCATCCAGTTGTAGGCTATGGGAGCGATACACACACCCTCTCCTATTCAAAATTACATTACCTACACCCCTAAAAGATGGTTCTTCAAAGGTTCTCTAGCAAAGGAAATGGTTCTGTTTAGAACCACATGTTCTATATAGAACTATTTCATGCTTACAGGGTTCTTTGCAAGGTGAAATGGTTCTTCAGATTGATGGTTCATTTTGAAAATGGTTCCATATAGCATCCAAAAGGGTTCTTCTATTGAATACAATTCTAGACATCATAACAACAGAGGAACACTGTTTGGTAAGAAGACCCCTTTTTATGGAACATAAAAAAGGTTCTATATTCAGTGCATCTGAAGAAACATTTTAAGCATGAAGTGGTTCTATATAAAACTCATTGTCTTTACTAAAGAACCCTTGAAGAACTATTCTTTTTAAGGGTGTTGTAACAATAGCAGAACCCTTTTCGGTGCTATATAGAATGCTTTTCAAAAATGATCTATATAGAACCATACCACACATCAAACTAAAGGGGAAAAGAGCCATTTAAGCATGAACATGTTCTATATAGAACTTATGGTTCTATTTAATACCATTGCCTTTACTAAAGAACCCTTGAAAAACCAAGAATGTAGCACCAAAAAGTGTTCTGCTATTGTTACGATGTCAAGCTTGTAACACTAGAAGAACCCTTTTTGGTGTTATCTAGAACCACATATACATAAAACACATTCTCCATTAATCTCAACAACCATTTCACCTTGCAAAGAACCATTTAAGCATACAAATGGTTCTATGAAGAACTCATGGTTCTAAATAGAACCATTGCCTTTACTAAAGAACCCTTGAAAAACCATCTTTTTAAAAAATGTAGCACCAAAAGGGGTTCTGCTATTGTTACGATGTCAAGCTTGTAACATTAGAAGAACCCTTTTTGGTGTTATCTAGAACCACATACACATGCAACACATTCTAGATTAATCTGAAGAACCATTTCACCATGCAAAGAACCATTTAAGCATACAAATCATTCTATGAAGAACTCATGGTTCTAAATAGAACCATTGCCTTTACTAACGAACCCTTGAAGAACCACCTTTTTTAAAAATGTAGCACCAAAAGGGGTTCTGCTGTTGTTACGATGTCAAGCTTTTAACACTAGAAAAACCCTTTTTTGGTGTTATCTAGAACCACATACACATACAACACATTCTAGATTAATCTGAAGAACCATTTCATCATGCAAAGAACCATTTAAGCATGCACATGGTTCTATGTAGAACCATTTCCTTTACTAATTGAAAAAAGATCTTTTTAAAAAATGTAGCACCAAAAGGGGTTCTGCCATTGTTACAATGTCAAGCTTGTAACACTAGAAGAACCCTTTTTGGTGTTATCTAGAACCATATACACATACAGCACATTCTCCATTAATCTAGGGAACCATTTTACCATGCAAAGAACTATTTAAGCATGCAAAAGCAATGGTACCCTTGAAGAACCGTCTTGTTTAAGTTAAATGGTGCAGCAGCTCCATTCAGGATGAAACCGTTTATTAAAGCGAAGGTTCTAATGCTGTAACAGACTTTAGAACAGGACTTCATATTTCATACTGTTGCATGATAAATGCCATAAATAAAGCTTGAATAAACATGATACTGCAAATCATTAGCCTATACCTACATACCAATACGTATATATATATGCAAACACAGAATACACACACACACACACACACACACACACACACACACACACACACATACACACACACACACACACACACACACACACACACACACACACATATATACACCCATGTTTTCATACATCATGTCTTTGATCATTATCTGTATCATATCAGGCTGATGTGTCTATTTTAAACCGCTCTCTGAGACCCTCTTTAGTCTTGGGTCAGGGCTTTATGTGTGTTATATGGTCACTCCTGTGTCTGGACGATCCTACAGCTGAGCCGCTCTGAGTGACTCTCGAGCTCCCTCTGCTGGAGCCTGCAGCCCCCGAGCCCACTGAGGAGATAAAGGGGGGAAAAAGACAAGCTAATTTTAGAAATCGTCCATTTTAGAAAATGAGAAAACATTCTATACGATTTTATAGAAAAACGAATATTAATTATGCTTTGAAAAAATATTAAGGAATATTTAAGGGACACACAAGGAACATTAATTAAACACTTAAGGTACATTAATTAAACACTTATTCACTTAAATACTTTTTTCCATTTCAGGGGAGAAAAGACAAAAATCTTTAGGAAAAATTTTGGGAAAAAAAAGAAATGATATTTTTAAAGAAATCCGTTTTTTTAAAAAAAGAAAAAAGAACATCATTAATTTTGGAAAAACACTGTTTAGTGAAATTGTTCATTTAGGAGGAAAATGTTGATTTTAAAGAAAAAAACAACTCCTAAAATAAACCATCTGAATACCTTTCTCTACAATGAATGTTAATTTTAACAACAACAACAACAACAACAACAACAACAACAACAACATCGTATACAAGTTTAATGGGGAAAAAAAACAAAAAAACAAAAAGTGTGTTAATCTCAGAGAAAAACTCTGTTCATTTAGGATAAACTGTTTATTAAAATGTACTATTTTAGTTATTCCTCCAACTAAAATAAACATTTATTAAACCTTAAATTTTTATTAAATTTAGAAAAAAGGAGAAATGTTTTGAAAGAAAACACAAAAAAATGTGTATGTCATCTTAGAGGAAAGAAACATTGTTTATATATGGGGGGGAGGGGTCGTAAAAAGAGAAATTTCTGTCCTAAAATTAATTAATTAGACAGTTAATTTTAGAAAGAGGAGGAAAAAAAATCAGCAATTCATAAGAAAAAATGTTGTGTTTAGAACAAAAAGACAACATTGTACAACATTTTAGGGGAAAAAGACTAACACTGTTAAATGAGGGTGGGGGTGTTTAGGAAAACAATTGTTTGAATTTTTAATTTTTGTTAAATGTAGGAAAAATATTGTAAATTAAAAAAAAATTCTGGACAAACAAACAATCAATATTAAAAAATAAGGGATAACAGTACAAAATAAAAATTGTTAATGGGGAAAATTTTTAAATCTTTTAATAATTTAGCTATTTTATTAATTCTAAGACATTTTAACCTCTGAGAATGAGAGCTGATGGAGACGCCCTGATGAAAGTGCAGTAGATGTTTATACTCACTGATTGGATGTAAGAATTCCTTGCTGCTCCTCCTTTTCCCCAGTGAAAGCTTGGATTCATCCGTCTCCATCTCCAGCTCCGTCTCCTTCAGCCCCCTCGTCATGTCCTCCAGGTTCAGTCTGAATCGTCTGAGCGAGCGGCTGTAGTTCTGCTTCAACTCGTCCAGCTTGTTCTCCGATTCTCTCAGCAGCTGTTGGGTTTCTTTGAGACGTTCTTCTGCTTGCTTGTTCTTGTCCAGCAGTGAGCTGCCTGCAACTTTTAAGCCACTTATTTCTTCATCCTTCTGCCTCTGAGTGAGTTTTAGTGAATTAATCTTATCCTGACGTTCGCGGCAGAGCTGCTCTAACTGCTCTACTTCATCTCTCAGCTCCTCACAGGAGGCCTTCGCTTGGTGGAGGTCTCTCTCTTTCTCCTCACGCTGGACTTTCACCTCCTGGATCTCGTTCTTCATTTCTACAAACTGTGCTTTCATTTTCTCGACATCTTTTTCCAGTTCTGCCAGCTCCTGCATCTTGGCTTTGGCCTGTTCATTGTTCTGCAGCTTCATCTCTGCTAGATCTTTCTCCCTGTCCTCCAACATCTTCGCATGTTCCTTCAGGTTCTTCTCCAGCTGCTCTATCTGGCTGTCCTTTACTGCCTGTTCTTCGGTCATTTTCCTGCATTGCTGCTCTAGTTCTTCCACCTCCGCTTGCATTTCCATCATTGAGGCCCTAATCTGGGCCTTTAATCCCTCTACCTCACTCGCTTTCTCCATCATCTTCTCTTTGTTCTGCAATCGCAGATCTTCAAGAAGGTGGTCCTTTTCCTTCAGCTGGCCCTCATAAAGTGATTTCAACTCTTGTATTTTGCCCTCTTTTGCCATAATCTTCTCCTCGAGTAAAGTTCTCAGCTCCTCTGCATCTCTGTCTTTCTCCATGAGCTGGACTTCATGGTCATGTTTCAAGTTCTCAAGAACTTTTTCTTTCTCCTTAACCTCGAAGATGAGATCTGTTTTCATCTTCATGACGTCTCTCTCATGTTGCTCCCGCAGCTCCTCCAGCTCTTTCTTACTGGCCTCGAGTTTGGAATACATGTAATTGGTGTCCGTGGAGAAGTGGACGCCACAGTTTTCCTCAACTAACTCCTCCACTCGTCGGAAAAGTTCATCAGTCTGAGGTTTGTCTGTCCATGACTTGTTGTCCAGCACATAGACGTGGCCTCCACACTTTTCCACCAGCGCTTTCAGGTGTGGCTGGATCTCCAGGAACTCTTCAACGGCCCTCGATCCAAGTTCTGCGCCCCACGTGAGCAGCACTATTGTATGTCTCCACACTGCAGCACCAATGGTGGTCAACATGTTCTCAGCCCCTTGCCTCTGCTGCTCTGAGAAGTCCCCCACAGGGATGACCAGGAGGAAAGCGTGTGGTCCAGGAGCACAGACCGAAATGCTATTCAGGATTTCAGTCCTGATCCGGGTAGGAGTGTCCTCGGCACGCAGTTTGTCCCAGCCTGGGGTGTCGGTCACCACCACTGACCGGCCAGCCACCTCGGCCTGCTTTCGGACGCATCTCTCAAAGCCTCGCTCGGCGTCGAAGGCAGTCATACCCAAGATGGTGTTTCCTGAGGAACTCTTGCCAACCCGTTGGCCCCCCACCAGCACCATCCTGAGCTCGGACAGGTGCAGCGCCCCTGCTGTATACAAGAACAAGAGCATTGATATGATATGTTATTGTTCATAATCACTGATAGTGCATGTTCTATTTTGTTTATGTCAAAAATGATTTTTTCTCCCTCAGCCTCAAATGTAGTCGATCAGGTACGACAAATGTAGTTTGAGGCAGGTAACATACAATTGTCTATAAAAAGTGGACAAAAGTGCCTCATAGCAAATCTTTAGCATCCCAAAGCCTTCATTTTGTCCGTACTTGTCCATTTTTTAGTCTGGAAAGCTTCGGACACCAAGCTGCTCAACTACATTTTATTTCTTATTTCTTAAATCTTAAATAGCAAAAGCATGTCTGGTGTCTGAAATTTGCTTCTTTAGTTTTGCACTAGAGCTATGAGGCTAATGTAGCTAACAAGCAATGGAAGCCAATTAGCATTGTGCTAACTGCATGTCTTAATCATCACACATTCACCTCAAGTTAAGTGGTTTTGGACACTTCAGTACAACTCAAATTTTATGATAACACTCTCTATGAATGTCACCTTTGTAAGCATCTATAAACACATTCATATCATGTTATAATGGATTCATAAGACATTATAAACATAGCTATAAATATTTATAAAAATGCATTATACGTTATAGCCATGTTTATTATGCATTATGAATTGTTAACATAATACATTATAAGTACTGATCATAACAAATTATAAGAGCTCATAAGTCGTATTTGTCAGCTCTAAGTAAAGTGAAGCGTACTGTACTAAAGCCTCCTCCAGTGTTCAGAGTGAGGCTTCAAGTTGAAGTATTTACTGAAAGATTTACTGAAACACTAAAACATTCACAGTAAAGCACATTACAGGCTTCAAATGTCAGAGTTTAAACTAGTGCTGCCATCAGTGTTTTACCCAATGTGGGAAAGGTAATGTACACCACCGTTAGCTTGGTATTTGTCTTTACACTCTCCAAGCTTGGACTGACTTCTTTGGCACTGACATTATAACATGTTATTAACACTACTTATAATGCATTATATAAACAATTCATAATGTATAATAAGCATGGCTATAAAGTGTAATTCAGTGTAATTCTTTTCTATAAAAATTTATAACCATGTTTATAATGCCTTATGAATGCATTATAACATGTTATAAATGTGTTTATAGATGCTTACAAATATGATATTCATAGAAAGTGTTACCAATTTTATTTGTATAATCTGTGGTCAAGACCCCAGCGGGATGGCCAAATGCAAGGCCAAGGCAATTTTGGGGGTCCAAAGTCTATAAACCCATGTTCAGAGCTACTTTTTGGCTCAAAAATGATGAAAAATGACCAAAAAAGAGGTTCCATTTCATCCTTTTCATGTGAGGAAATTCTAACATTGACATCAGATGAATGTGTAGCTCTACAGATTCATATTTCATATTTTTAAACACAGTGCAGAGTAGTGAAAACACTGGAGGACATTCCTGCAACTATAACATCTTTAAATAACACTGAACGGATCATTAAAACAGACCACAACACACAAAGTGTGCACAATGCCTGGCCTAATGGAGCTGAAGTTAGCTTCCTGTTAGCCAGCTTATTATTCCAATTTTCCATTCCACCTTAAATGACGCCACAGTTACATTCAGGCTCCTGTACAGCAATGTAACTGCTGCACCATTTAAGGTGGAACAGAGATTTGAATAAGCCAACTTGCGCCTCATGATGGGCTATGAGTCTCACATGCAGTTTACACAGCTGTAAGTCCATTTGGTAAATGAGAAACTCTTACTGGCAGCTAAGTTAGCTTTTCAGCTAAGTTAGTTGACTGAAAAGTCATAAATCATGATGTAACATATGAATCTCTGTGTCAATCCCGAATGTTAGCGTAGCCACTGAGCTGCAGGCTAATAAATACAACCAAGCTAGTTTAACTTTTACCTCACATACATTCCTTCTATCATTATTCAGTGCAAAATGGACCCCACTGGCTTTTTTCATCCTTTAAGCCAGAAAACAGGACTTTTTTTATCCTTTAAGCCAGAAAACAGGAGCCAAACTGAGATAACATGCCCGGATAGCCTCGTAGCTTCCTTGCTAACCATAGCATTTACTTTGCTGTCCTAGTGATCTGATGAATCAACATCATCTCTTTGTTTTAAGGTTGAAGACTACACTCTTAGGGAAAAGGGTTCCTTGGATTGTAGTAATAGTGGAACCCTTTTTGGTGCTATATAGAGCCCTTTTTTAAAAAAAAGCTACAGCACATTCTCCATCAGTTTGAAGAACACATTCATGATGCAAAGAACTCTTTATTCATGCACAGGTTATGGTTCATGGTTCTATATAGAACCATTTTCTTTACCAAAGAACCCTTGAAGAACCATCTTTTTGGAGAGTGTACAGTAAGATATTCCACCTCCCAGCAGTAACATTAGCTATCTTCCCCTAATTAGCTGTGTCCCATTTCAGGGGCTGCGTCCTTCGGAGGCTGCATTTGAAGGCCGATTGCATCACAGCGGCGCGACTAGACTGTCCCATTTCGAAGGCTCCTTCATATGCGGCAGAGAAATGTGTCCTTCCTTCTCCATGGCATTGAAGGATCCAACGGATGCCAACATATCCCGAGGTTCACTGCATGCAGGCGAAGATTCATGAACATGGCAATGTCAGCAGAGGAGTTCACTTATAAATGATTGTATTGGGTTTAAACTGATTCGGATAGCTGACGATACAGATGTTAAAAAAAGCCAATAAATGTGGTCTGAAGCAAAACTTATGCTAATGTTGTGTTTTGTTTTATGGAGCAAGAAGCAGACAGAGAGAAGCATCTCCAGCTCTAATAAATGAAAAAAATAAACAGTTTTGGCTCCATCTTTAAAGAACTTTAAAGAACTTGACAGGAGCGGCGTTTCATGACGCGGGAACAGCGGTGCTGTGACACAAACAGAAAATCCGCCGTACGGCAGACCATCCCATTTCGGTTCAGCCTTCGCAGGTCTAAGCAACCTTCGAAGGATGCTTAGACCTGCGAAGGATCCAGACCCTGAATTGGGACATTGATCATGTTCAAGGAAAAAAAACATCCAAACATCCCTAAAAACTGTCCCCAAAGCAGTGGTCCTTTGTCAAAAGTTCCTCCCACCTTCAAGATACGTCATCAGAAAAGGGGTTTTCTAGTCTTTAAACCAGAAACAGTACAGCAGCATCACCGAAGGAGGCGAGTAAGCATGTTTACCACGGATGTAGAGATGGGCATGTTTTTCACTTTGGCCTGAGTTTTCCTTTAAATCCATGACTGCTGTGTGAACAAGTGAGGAACTCAGTATAGTGAGAGGCAGGTAACATACAGTTGTCTATAAAAATGGACAAAAGTGCCTCATGGCAAATCTTCAGCATCCTGAAGCCTGAATTTTGTCTGTACTCATCCATGTTTTCGCCTGGAAAGCTTTGGACACCAAACTGATCAACTACATTTTATTTATTATTTTTATTTCTTACATTTTCTCAGTTCTTTCCCTCATAAAGCTCGTTTGGTAGTGCTTAACTAATACATCTTCCTTCATCTCTACCAGTCTTACACTTAATAGGGTCAATTCATGAAATTCTACACTAACAGTACAGCGGAGTTTGCCTATAAAAATTAATAAAATGCATCACAGCTGAAAAAGCAGTAGCATGAATTGTAGCCTTGTAGCTCCAGCGCAAAACTAAAGAACCAAACTTCAGACACCAAGCATGTCTTGGGGTAAAAAAGGCAGGGGAAACTGGGTAAATTAGATTTTTTTGGCCAAAATATTTCTTTCAGGAACTACATGACCTCAAACAAGCATTCAAAGCTAATTTTAGGCCTCGACTTCTAGAAAAAACCTACTGAAACATCTAGATGAACTATGTTAATGTGCATATCTGACTTATGAAAATGTTTAGATTATTAAGTAGTTTGTCAGTTTATCTAGTCAACAGCTTATATTCTTCTCCCAACAATAGGCAGAAAGGCCTACCACTCTCTCGGCGCTCCATGCTGGAAATAAAGACTTTTCACAGGCTTTGCTTGGAGACCCAGTCCTCAGGTGCTAAAACACTATCTGCAATGCATTTAACCACAATGCAGCTCCATCACAGAAGATTCACATTTTCCTTAAAAACACAACAGAAGAAGAAATAAAAATCCGTCCACCAGCCGAAAGAGAATCGGGAGTAAAATGAAACGTTATCATGATAGCTCACTGTTCAAAGTTCAAAGTCAAGTTATAAAACGAATGTTATCAAGAGATTAAATGCAGGAAATATGACCCGCCCACTGTCTCGAACTTCCACGCAGATCAGAAACCAAACTCCTAAAACTAATCAGAACAGCTGATTAGTACTGAGCATTATTAATTGTCCACTTAAAGGGCCCAAACGGGGTAAGGGGTGGGGTGTCCCTATTCTTGTTGAGATAGAGGGGTAGGGCGAAGTGTTAGGGCTACATGGCCCTCCAAACGGAGGTTTATCAGAGACTCCAAACAGAGAGTTATGAGAAAATAAGAAAAACTGGCAAGATGGAGAACAAGACACCAAAGAAACACACAGATGTGAGAATTTTCTCTGCTAGAAAATTTATGATAACTATTGTATTATCTTAGTTTAATGTCGTTTCAGTGTATTATGGTCTTTTTCTCCTTAACAAGCATAAAAAAAATCACTAATAGTATGCTAATGTCTCGGTAGGTAGCTAGCTAACTTTCCATTCCACCTTAAATAGTCCAGCAGTTCTGACGCCTGAAGCGCCAGAATGTAACTGCTGCACCATTTAAGGTGGAACGGGAAAATTTGAACAAGAAGCTGGTGAATATCTGACTTCAGCTTCATATCACTGAAGAATTAGGGGTGGGTGATAATAAATAATTGCCCCCCTCTTTGAAGGCATATGATGCCCTAAATGTAACTAAAGCCCAGCAGTGAGGAGCTGAACTTTACCCTCCTCTGCTGTCACTGCAGACTGGCAGGGTCGCCTACAGAGCAGCGCTGGTAGCTGTTAATGAAGTGATGCTCTTTTTATTTGAGGGTCCCATTTCAGAGGGAAGATTTCAACCACTACTCCTTATAACTCAGTTCCAAGGGGTTAGGGTAACATTCGAAAACAAGGGGTAGGGGTAAAAATAAGAAATGGGATTGGGCCCAAGTCTAAGCTGGACAAATCACCACTGTGGTGGACAAAAAACATCACTGGATGCTCTGAATTATTTTTGAGAGTTTAGCTACACGTGAGCGAACACTGCTGCACACTAAACTGACATCGACATCACCAAAACACCCCAGCAAGCCTCGTCCAGAGTGGTAGTTGTGTTGCTTTGGCAGTCGTAGCACATTTGAAGTAGATGGTGTGATTAAATCACAGTGTTGAAGCTTAATAGTAGACTTACTTTAATGCAACGGCATTTCAGTGTGCAGGAGGGGAAGCCTGCTGTAGTGTGGATGTAGCAATGTTCATATTTCATAATTCAGAGGATCCAGTGACATTCAGTGGAGAAGATGTTGAACAAAACATAACAGGTTAACTAAGTAACTCTGAGCATCCAGTGATGATTGGAAGAAAAATGCATTATGGCAAAACGTACCACCAAAGGGCGCAAACAAGGTGCGAAATACAGGGGGTCCTGGGGGGGAATGTCTCAAAATGAAAATTCTGGGGGGTCCCTGAAAATAAATATGGTCTTATACTGTCCATTGTTTAGCCTGCTTCAACCATAATCAGCAGCACTGGTCTGCCTCAGGGTGGTGCTGTAGGAAATGGGTTCACCCAGTTGGTCCTTCGCAGCCTAGCAACTGTAACTAACTGTAAAGATACCTCTGAAAGACTTTACAGTGTGAGTTACAGAGGGAGTTAGCAGCCAGTCAACATGGGACCCCCACACACAAGGGGGTGTTTCACGCACTGGGAACTATAGTGGCAATTTATATATATATATATATATATATATATATATATATATATATATATATATATACACGCACACACATACATGTATATTCTAAATCCATAGGCATTAATATGGAGTTGCCCCCCCTTTGCAGTTGATGTTGCTTCCAGAGGCACTTTGGAACTCTTTAGTGAGTGAAACAACAGTACACTGTGCGCTTCAGCACTCTGCAGTCCCACTCTGAGTTTGCATGGTCTACCACTTCATGGCTGAGCTGTTGTTGCTCCAAGGTGCTTCCATTTCACAGTAATAGCACTTACAGACGTCTGGGGCAGATCTAGCAGGACAGAAATTTCACAGCTCTGCTGTGTCTGATCCACTCGTACCAGCACAACACACACTAACACACCACCACCACGTCAGTGTTACTGCAGTGCTGAGAATGATCCACCACCCAAATAGTACCTGCTCTGTGAGGGTCCATGGGGGTCCTGACCACTGAAGAACAGGGTAAAAGGGGGCTAACAAAGTATGCAGAGAAACAGATGGACTACAGTCTGTAATTGTAGAACTACAAAGTGCACCTATATAGTAAGTGGAGCTTATAAAATGGACAATGAGCGTAGAAACAAGGAGGTGGTCATAATGTTATGCCTCACATACATACATACACAGGGTCATTCAGCTTTCTGTGAGGACAATAAAAAAGGCAGATCAGACAGCAATACTGTTAAAATACATTTTTACTTGGAGAACAATCTATATGATACAAACTGACTGAAAGCTCTACTCAAAGTTCTTCAGCTGGTGTACAAACATGATGCACATCCGTGCTGTGACGTCTACAGACGTCATGACATCTACAGCGAACTACAGAGAGTGAAACGGGGCTCTTACAGAACAGAGACGCAGAACAGGAATAAATTACAGAAACAACTGCACCTGCTGATTACACGGTTCTTACACATGAGGTGGTGGAGATAAAACCTCTGAGCTGAAAACGACTTCAGAACACTCACAGTGCGACAGCCAGCTTTCGTTCAGCTTACAGGAATACTGCTGTAGTGGTATTGCTGATTATGATCTATTTAAAGGCATTAATTAAGATGGTAATAATCTAAATATACACAGATTCATCATTTATTGGGTGATAAACTTGTGAAAATACTAATTTAACACATTTTTTTGCATTTTTTTTCAATTGTGTTTTTTAAAAGATTTTTTGATTACTTTTAAAGTAAAACTGATAGTTTTTATCATGAGTTTAATTTTTAAATAAAAAAAACTCGCTGTCTCACATTTTCATGTCACTACCGAAACAGCAAGATTTAGTCTGTAGGCGGAGCCTTATTTTAGCCACACCCCTGCTTTTTAGAGCAGCAAGTAAGACTGCATCCCTGCCCCTCAGGGCCACATGGTGAGCAGTTAGATCCCACTGTTTTGACATTAATTTGTCCCAAAGTCTGAAAATCAGTCTGTAACATTAAGAATTGTCACTACCGAAACATATTTTCTGCAATTAAGCACTTTTTTGTGTTCAAAGCTATTTTTGCTAGTCTGTCACTGGCTAGTGTTTCCGAGTCATGCTCAAAACTGTCACTACCGAAACACTTGGTAAAGTTTCGGTAGTGTTGATTGTTTCGGTAGTGACGAAATGGAATGTCCAGTCATTTGTTTTAATAAAATAAACATCATTAAGGTATAGGGTCACTCAAAGCAAAAGGATTTCAGTCTGAAGTCCAAGTCCGAAACACGTTTCGAACAGACTTTCATCCAGTTCGACAAAATAACCCACAGACGTGCGACGCAGACAGCAGCGCTAACAGAGAATACAGCAAAGTTTTATTCAAAAGCTTGTGTGGCTGCGGAGGTACCTGCGGACAACATGAGACACAGGGCAGGCGAAATTTGTGAAATTCACCCAACCTGTATTGCAATGTAGCCATTACAGTTTCAGACCTGCTCCTGTGTCGTGTCCCTCAGTGGTCAGTTCTCAGTGTCAAGACTACGTGACGATTATCAATACGCACCACTACGAAAAATCCAGTGAATAATTCCAGTCAAACGCAGCAAAAACAACACACTGCAGTGGATTCTACAGCCTTAAAACAAGCAATATCTTTAAAATCTGTGACGAACTGTTAAAGTAAGGCAGGTCATAATGCAGCTACAGCTCTGACAACGATAAAAACATGGATATTTTGAATAAAAAAAAATGAAAACACAAACAAAATTGGCTCAATCGCTCAAAGACTGCATGTCGTTCCAGTGCTACATAATAATGTTGTCCTCTAACAATAATCCAGTATGAAGTACTGTACTTAAAAAGCTTAATACTGATCTATTTAATAAGCTAATAGAAAACCAAAGAAGATAAAAAGGTAAAAAGTCTGTATGAAAGACTGCGCAGTTCTATAAATAACCGTCTCAAGTGTTGGTGATCTGTAGTGGTCCAGCAGGTTGCTCTTTCACAGTGATCTAACTAACATGGCGCGTGAGAACAGCGGGTGGCAGAGCAGCACCACAGCTGTCCGAACAGAAGTTTCTTCAACGGCCAAATGGCGGCCTTACAGACGCTGACCCCAGAACAGCTGCACAATCCCACAGTTGTGACAAAAATCCTGATTCATCATAAAATCAAAGTCCACTCTTGAGGTCTCAGCGTGGGTCAGAGCTTGAAGGCCCCAATCTGAAGCCGAGTTGTGCTAAAGGTGGATTCGCCGTGTCCCAGAGTCCAGCTGGTAACATCAAGTCTACTGCACACAGTCCTTATCGTCTCTCTGTGCTTTAAACCCCGAGTGAGTTGGAATGCCGTAAGCTGGAATGTAGCAAAGTGGAAAGGTGTGATGGCCCTAAGCGTTCGGCTGGTGGTCAGAGAGGCGCTGAACCCGTGGTTCTCAGAGCTCAGTGGTCAGCAGACCCTTGAGTTTGTGGCTGTCCTCCTTGGGTTGGTGAGCCACAACGCTGCAAACGAAAGAAGACACAATGAGGCTCAATACTGGAGCTGAAAAGCAAATGTTGCTGGCAAAGTCTAGAATCACCTTAAAAAAATATTTAAAGGAACAGCTTTTCAACAAATTTACACAATTTTCACCACACCCCAAATGTAGCCAACCAGCCAAGACATGTTTGATGTTCAAAGATACATTTTTAGGTTTTGCGCTGGGGATATGGGGGATAGATAAGAGGATAATTAGCATCAAATAGCATCGTGCAAACTGCCTACATCACCACACGTTTGGCTCAGACCACATCAATGCAGCGTCTTTCTGCAGCCCCCTAGTGGCCATTCCCCCTCGG